CTGAACTGAGACAAAGATAGATTAAACAGTGAAGAATTAATGTTTGTACATGTTTATTAGTATTATTAGTATTGACCTATGTCATAAACACACCTTGAAACAAAATGGCAGGGACTAAGAAATTGCAGGAAATGAAGAAAATATAAAATTACTTAATGACACATGTGCCAAGAGCATTGAAAAAAAAAAAAAAAAGAGAAGTGTTTCCATTGATTTGTTCAGTTGTCAATTTTAATAAGTTCCTCACTTTTAGAAATAAATCTAATTTTTGTAGAAGCAATTGAATCTCAATAAAAATAATAGACAAACGAGAAATACTCATCCCCCCTCCACTTTATTTCTTTCCAAAGTTGATCATAAAATAAAAATTAGTTTTAATTTTTCAGTGCAAATATCTTCACTCAATTAAGAAATGAATTTTCATAACTTGAAAATTCATTTAACATTTCATATTTTTTAATAAACCCGAAATAAAAAACAAATTCAAGTTATAAATATTACATCTGAACAAAGTTTAGGTTTCAATCAGAATGGTGATAGCCAAAAAGAATTTGAGTGTTTATCCCATAGGTTAGAAGGAAGCTTTTCCATTACAAAGTCAATTACAAGTTTGGAACACTTAAAATATTTAAATGCTATAAGGATAAGATTAATGCACTTATAAATAAGAGAAGCTTTTGTTTGAAAATGATAGGACCAGTCTTCTTTTCAGTAGAAATTTCATTTAAGTTTCAATAATTTTTAAAACTGGTATGAAAAAAATATCAGCTGGTAGTTTATTTTTGCATTCAAAACTACAGATTTGTCTGCAATAAAATGAAATAAGGGATAATAGTGCCTGGTCTTCAAAAAAAAAAAAAATTTTTTTTTAAAAATTATTTTCCTACTTCCCATGACTATTCATCAAGTACTTTGTGTATAAGCAATACGGAAAACAGGGAAAAAGGGGTTGTGTAGGGGGAAAACTGTGATGGTGACCTCTGACTTTGTTTTAAAAGAAAGGGTGAAAGGGTCATTTAAAAAAAACAAAAAAAAAAAAAAACAATGGAAACATCTTCAGAAATTCTTTGTATCATTTGAAATTTGCTATTTGGATCTGTCAAAATGTTCCTGGCAATGGAGAAAAAAAAAAAAAAAAAAAATCAATTTACAAGGCAATAACAATTACCTTTTCCTTTTCAATCTGCATGTTCCATGCTTTAAAAAAAGAAAATGCAGTGAATCAAGTTTAGTACTTTTGTTCTCAATCCAAAAATTCAAGTTAAAAAAAAAAAAAAAATGCTGACATTGTTTTTTTTTAAATTATTTTTTTGATTATATTAAAAGTTTTTTTTATTTTAGTTTCTCTTATGAAAATTCTTCCTGCTTGCAAAGTGTTGTCGATGAGAGTATGCTTTCTTAAATGCCAGTAATCAAATATCTTCCACCTCAAATCTAAAATAATCTTAATTTAAACACTAAATCCCTTCATGATCAGAGCATTTCAATCTGTAAACCTAAATATATGGTCAAGATCATTACATAATCTTTGAGGAGGAACAGCTCAACCAAATTCTTAAAATAATTTTCAGAGTTTTTTTTTCTTTTAAAATGTCACAAAATTTAATATTCATTTAAAATAACTTGAAAATATCAACTAAAAAAAATGCTTGAAAATGAATAAATAAAAATAATTATGGGCCAAAGGTTAGATGACTGTTTGGAGCAAATCCTTTTAATCAAATCACTTTTTTTTTTTCTCTTTAAAAGAAAATGGTTACATTTGTAAAAACAGTTGGCCTGAGGGGAAAATTAAAAACAAAATATTTAAACACATTTTACAAATAAAGATGCATAAAAAATTATATATATATATATATATGTATATATGTATACATGTATGTATAAATGCATGTGAAACACAAAATAAAAAAAAATATATATATAAAAAATGAAGACAAAATATAAATGTTTATTTGGAAAGTTCCTTTCGTCATGTGCCATGATGCAGCTATTATGTCTTTTAATTGTCATGTTTTTTATCTGAAGTCTAGCACCAGTGGTTGATTATGAAAACTGAAAGGTGGTTTTGTCAAAGATAATAGTAAATATCAAGAATAAACTCTTAAATGTTGCTTTTTATTTCTTCAAAGTCACTTTGTTAATAAAGAGTCACTAATTTGTAGGTCATCTTATGCTTGACTAGCATGCATAGGGAAGGGAGGTCGTGGGTTTTCTAAGAAAAAGAGAAAACAATTTCAATAACCAATTGTATTCTAATAAAGTCTAAGAAGATATTTTTCTCTTTCCCACCCTTACAAGGTTTTGTTCCTCACTAAGCTTGAAACAAAGAGATAAATATAAAGACATTTATCCTTTTCCATTTGGCCACATATCTGCAGAAAATGTGATCTACCAACATCAGTTATCATTTAACTGTAATCAATCAAAGCCAACATTGGAGACGTTTTCAAGATTTGGTAAAATCATTTGGCTTGGAATATTCATTTCATTTTTTCTTTACTTTCCAATTTGCCAAGAGTAAGGAATACAGAAGATCTAATCATTTTGCAGAGATTTCAAAAGAAAAACTTCTGTCAACTGGACAGATCCTAAACACAGGCAGAGCAAAAATGTAAGTTTACCAAAAATGAACAGAATCCAAAACACCTCTTTTGTTCACATCATAGTCAAGCACAAAAGATTTTCCACATCTTATTTCCAATCTCCAGCCAGTTTTTTTTTTTTTGTCCAACCCTCCAAAAAGACAGGGAACTGAAACAGTAGCAACTTTTCCTGCTACCATTATATATATATATATATATATATATATATATAAATATATAAACATATTATTAAATATAACAGACAATGAATGTCTATATTGTCCAATCATGAGTTGTTCTAATGTTTGCTTTAATTTCTGATGAAAAAAAGACAAAAATTGTCCAACATTTGGATATATTTTTTTATTAAGTTGGTCCTAAGTGTTTAGCTCAACTGGGCCATCCTCAGATTGGTTACATAGACATGAAACAAAGTTATCCACCATCAAAGATAATATTTTGTTATTTTGACAGAAAATTGCTATGCAACAATAATGGTCATGGAATAGTAGTTGTGACTAATTTGAAATGTAATTTTGTTGAGTGTGGGTTGTGCTTTGTTTTAATGCAAATGGCCTCCAATATCTGAATGTTCTTTTTACTGTGTGTATTTGTGAGTATTATCATGTTATCAACTAATATCTGTCTAATATTATGTACATGGCTATGTTTTTCTAAGAGATGTTTAATAGAACTAAGATCAGAAAGGTGATTGGTAAATCTACGAGAGAGCATGTTTAAAACCAATATATGTAGTGGGTTTATTATTAGCATCAGAGATTGTATCTCTGAACGGTCATGGAAATTGATACACTACATTAGTTTTTTTTGTAGAGGATTTAGTTGTATGGTTGTAAATCCTCTACAAAAAAAAAAACTAATGTAGTGTATCAATTTCCATGACCGTTGTTATCGCATAGCAATTTTCTATGTCTAAAATAACAAAATATCATTTTTGACAGTGGATATCTTTGTTTCATGTCTGTATAAACATTCTGAGGATGGTTCAGGTGAGCTGAAAGCTTAATAAAAAAAAAAAATAAAACAAAAAAAAAACATCCAAATGTTGGACAATTTTTGTCTTTATTTTTCAGTAGAAATTAAAGCAAACATTCGAACATTAGAATGGCTCATGACAAGACATAATAGACATTCTGTTATATTTAATAATATATGTTTAAATAATGATCTGCTGCCCCCAATACACTATATATACATATACTCTCTCTCTCTCTATATATATATATATATATATATATATATATATATATATATATATATATATATACACACAGAGGAAAAATGGAAGATTGTGTAGCAAAGTAAAAGAGAATCTGATAAACCAAAAGCAAATCAAAGAATTGCTTCATATTTTGGTTCATTTCAAAATTGTCACAAAAAGGAAGATTGTTGTCATTGTGGTTCCATTTTCAGCAAAAGACATTTACAAGAGCTAAGCAGGCAGGTGAATATGATGATGATGATGATAATGATGACAGTGATAACAGCAGCAGTAACAGTTCAAGGGGGGAGGGGGTCCAGTAGTTTGTGAGATGAGAGAGAATAAAAATAGTTATAGTTTGACCAGCAAATAAGTACATACAGTGCAGTGTTAAGTAAAAGCAAAATAGTTGTTATAGTAGTCGTGTGCAATAGTGTGGGGAAAAGATGAATGGCTGTTAAAATATAGAATATAAAACCAAATAAGTGAAAATCCAGACAGTTGAGATTTTCATTGACAAACTATGTTGCTCAACTTTTGATCTGCCAAAACCAGTAGGCAAATCAATAAGCTTTATTGAAAGAAGGGTGGGGGTGAAGAAACATATGCATGTAATCTGATATGTTAAGTAGATAAATTGATATATACATGCCGCTCCCATTACTAAAAGCTATTAAGACTAGATTTGGGAGGTTATTACAACTAATGACAACATTTCTTTCAGTTGAGAAGTGAGATTTCTTTTTGCAGTAGTAATGTGGGTAATGGTACACTGTAGGGTGGATAACTGGTGGTGGTGGTATTAATGACTAATGAGTTAGCAGCAGTTTTCCCCTCACAAAATCTTGCATACAAAAATATTCCTGGTTTTAGTTTACAGGAAGGATCCAGCAATTTCCTAGAATCTATTGAAAAAATCTGAATGTTTAAGGCAACAGCAGCAGCAGCAGGAGCAGCAGCAGCAGTTAAGCATCTGCTCAAATGTCCTTTCTTCCTTGTAAAATCTAAAGTGAGGTGAACTGCAGACAAAAACAGCACAAAGTAATAATGAAAATGTTAAGAGGCATATGTCGCATGTCTCTTCTCCTCCTCTTCCTCCTCTTCGTTCTCTTCTGCCAGTGAAGCTGGTCAAGTAGTCAATGAGGGAGAGACAGTAGAGTCCTATGCCATGTGTGGTGTACTCCCTCTCACGGTCACTGCATCCCTTCTGGCTTCTTGCCTCCATGGAATTCTTCTATGCACAAGTGGCAACTCCAACTACCTGAAAAGCACACACCATCAAAATCAACATCAGATGCAGGAATGTAGCAGCAAAGAAACAAAAGAAGCAATTCACAATATTTTCATTGAGCCAAAACAGTTAAATTTGAAACTTAAGACTTAATTCTTTCTCTCAGTAAAAGGAATTGCCATATTTAATAAGAAGCTTACAAGTGAAACAATGTGAATAAAAATTACAACTTTTATTCATATTTTTTTTTTAAGCCAAACACTTTTTTTAAATTGCAATTAATTGAATCAATTAGTGAAGTAAAATTAAAACTTATTTTTATTTTTAGTTTCAGATTTTGAATTAAAAGTAAAATCAGACTTTGAGAAATATAGTCTTAATTTTATTGCAATGAATAATCATCTTATTCAATGTTAACAAAATTTAGGGTTAGATACCAACCTTTAATAAAAGGTGAAAGCATATGTGTGAATGTGTGTGAAAAGCATATGTGTGAATGAAGTGTGAATAAAAAGAAGCAATCTGGAAGTGAGATCTCATTCAGGGTGCGAGAGAGAAAAAATTAAAATGCAAATGTCCTATTTGTGAAATTATCTGGTCTGAAATTAAAGCTTAATTTCAAACCTCTGCATCTATTGATGACAAATAAAAAGCCCAGACTCCTAAAAGGAGGAGAAGGAGAAATGTATTGTATAGAGAATACTGTAGTTATACTACCTTCAGGTGGTTCCGACAACTGCGGGGTCAGGCAGTACATATGATAGCCACGGTCACAGTCATCACAGAACAGTAGCTGGTCCTAGACAGATACAAAAACAATTCAGTTACACTGATTTCCTACCCCAACAATGAACAGAAATTCTCTGTCAAAGCTGAACCCCTTTTTTTGGCACTATTTACAGAAAGACAGAAACAAAATCTCAAACTTTTCCTGATAGCAAAATAGACTTTCTTTCTACAAATTACGAAAAGCAATCAGTAAATACAAGTTAACACATCCACTTGTAAAATTCAGACAGTAAAATATATATAAAGAAAATGATTCCACTGAATATAAGACGTGTAGAAAAAACAATTTTAATTGATTGTATTTTACTTTTTGATGGTTTTGACAGGAGGTGTGTGTGTGTGTGTGTGTGTGTGTGTGTGTGCGCGAAGAAAGGGGTGTTGAAAAGTTTTCGGACCAACCCAGTTCCTCAAAATTTTACCTAAATGGCCAAACATCAAAATTTTGGCTTCTTGATTCAGCAAAATACTTTTCAGCACACCCATCATGCATGTGTGTGTGTGTGTGTGTGTGCATGCATACTTGGAAAAGTATACAGGATCTATAAATAAACTTGTTTGATAAAGTCAGTCATTAAATTTTGACCCAATTGATCTAAATGTCAATTTCAGGGCTGGTCAGATCCTTAGTTTAATTCAATTTCCATGAAACTAATAAGAAAAACAACCACTAACAAGTGTAGAAATGTTCTAATTGTATTATAAACCAGCATTATTACAGTGAAAGACAGTTTAGAGAGATAAGAATCAAAAGAGGAAATACGGCTGGTTGTCATAACAATAGATGAAGAATGGAGGTGTGCTGTTGGCCAACACTACAGAGGCTAACAGATTGTGTGCATTGCATGAATCAGGTGTTGTATATAATAATGGACAAGTGATTCACTGATTCCGGTGGCTGCCATTACCCTTAGCAATAACAATGAACAAGTGACGTTAGAGCAGTGTGGGTCGGTGGGTGTGTGTATGTGAGAGAGAGAGAGAGAGAGCAAAGTGCTAAAAGGTGCAGTGAGTGTTGATGATTGTAGTGGGAAGTGTGATCGATTCTGCCACCTAGAATAGCAATCACAACTAGTGCTACAATACCTGCTGCAGTCTCCTGCAGTCATTAGCAGCCCCTTGATCCAATCAACAGAGTGTCACAGACCAGATCAGGTCAGAGCCAAATTGGTCTGCAAGAAGACAACAAGGCTCAACTTTAATGTTCATTTCACAGTGCCTCCAAATGGTAGACCAATGGTCAACATTATACCCCCACTCAGGCAGAGATCACTATTAAGGTACATACTATCCTGTCGTGGAAATAAACATGTCACTAGGCAAAATTCTAGGCCTGTCAAAATTAACTGAACTTCTATTGCTGCCCTTCGAAGCAGAAGAGTTTTTTTTAAAAATCTGGGCTGATAAAAACCTACAGAATGGCCATCATTCTTGGAAGTGAAAAAAAACAAAACAAAAAGAATCACTAAGAAAATTGGAGTGCATTTGAAAACTTAAGGTGAAAATTTTTTTTATCTCCAATGTGTCTGACTGGCCAAGAATTTTGAAGAGTGACAAATACAGGTTTCTATATTCAAAAGACATAACAGATGGTAAAAAATGATGTCAACAACACAAAAACAGTTTAATAAAATAGCATTATTTCCATTATATGTAAGAAAAACAATTTCTGTCTGAATTTCTGGGATGAGAAGTTATTTCCATTCAGACGAATGTCCTCATCTTTGTTGTTATTATCACAATGTTCCAGCTGTTGCACCCCTTAGGCCATCTTCAGATTTCTGTCGATCTGGGTAACATTCATGGGATTTTGAACTGAACACTTAATCTATAGGGACAGATTATTCTCGCTCCACTGTCCATGTCTAGGGATATCTCCTCTTTTTATTTAGTACTGCTCAGTTATTGATTGCCCTGTTTCCAATGAGCCTAAGTCTGCACTATGTCATCTAGGGATTGAACTCAAAATTACTAGGTCACCAAATTCCTGAACCAATGCTTTAATTCACTAGGCTATTGTCCCATTTAATTAAATAAAAATTCCCTGTAGGTTATCTGGATCAGCAAACACCAGAAGATGGCTAAAGGTCACAATGGCTGAAACATTGTGATAACATAGATGACATTAGTTTAAATGTAAATAATGTAAATAAAATAAACAATCTTCAATATTCTAAAATATTGCAGAAAAAAGGGCAAAAAGTTAAGTAACATAAATTTCCCCATTTTTAGAAAATATTGTCAGAATCAATTATTTAAAAAAAAAAAAAAAATTTGCCTTAAACTTTACAAATTACAACAAATGTTCCCAATCAAACTTGGTCATCAATTATTGAACATGTAAATCAAGCTGACTCTTCTAGATAGCAATAAAAAAAAAAAAAAAAAAGTAGAGATTTCATATAAAAACCAAGCAAACTAATTGACTGACCAAAAGTTTTGTTTGTAATGTGAAGGAAATGTTCCATCTGCAATAGTCAAATTACTAACACAAGTTATTTAATTTATGCAGTCAAAAAGAGGCCCAAAATTATGTACACGTATTTGAAACATTTCTTTGAATACAAAAGAAAAAAATATTAAAACACTAAAAAATCTTTTTAAAACTGATCTCCAAAGTGGAAATTTGCCATTTAAAAAGGGAAAGCAAACCACAAAAAAAAAAAAAAAAAAAAAAACTTTTCAAAAATCAAATCAAATAAAAACTATCCTAATTTTTTTGCATAACCTTCAATAACAAAATCACTTTACATGAGATTTTTTTTTTTTTTAAATAAATGCAATATACATGGGTTGCATGCAAAACATTATTTATATTGCCGATGTCTTCAATGTTTTTTTTTTAAACTCCTATGATAAAATTAGTATTTTGTAAATATTTTGTGTATCAAATACATTTCTTTTAAAGATATTTACTCCAAAGGTTATTTAATGTATACATCTAAAGATTATCTATGATTCCAATATATTCTTAATATCATTATTATTATTATTCTCTTTATTTGATATCCTTTTCCACTCTTAGAGGTTTTGTCTGGGTGATGGTGATCATATCTCAGCTCCTATCTGTGACTTAGAAATTCAACATTTTCCCTCAGTAGTTGATCTGTTCCAAGCAGAGATGCCACTAGCACACTCCCAATGATATTGAGTATCACCAACACATTCAGCATAGCAAAAAGAATCTCAGTAACAGTCCCAAGTGCACTACCCACAAAAGGGGCCAACCTGAGCTTCTGCTTGGCATATTTCTATGATTTGCCTTCACAATGTTCTTATCCAAAAGTACTGCAGTGTTTATCAGGATCCATTCATAGTTGCTCTTATGCACAAGTATGATACCAGGACAATTGCTCTCCAAGTACTTGTCAGTCAAGATAGTAGCATCCCAGATTATTATATTATCAATGATTCAGTTGTACATTTTGTTTCAGATGTTATAGCGGTGGATACAAATATCAAAATTCTCACAATTTTGAGGCATTATTTTTAAATCTGTCTTCAAAGCCACTGTAGCTGATCTTAGAATTGGTTAAGTGAAAGGAAAATAAACAAGATCTGTTCATTGTCCTTGAAAACTGGTTTGTTACTCATCCTTTGAAATAATGTCCTGATGAGACTGACCCTCAGACGCTGATAATAAGGTGCTTGAAAATGCAAAAATCAGGAGAACTCAACCAGTAGAATTTGAAAACTTTCAGAAGAGTTAGGATTATCAAAACCTAATTTGAACAAAGTATTACATACACTTAAAAAAATAAGAGTTGATTAAAAGTGAGAATACTTTTCATTCAATCTTAATATTTACAAATTATCAGCAATAAAATCACATTGGACTAAAACATCTAAATTACATGCTGCAAACAGTAAAAAAAGAAAAAAAAAGAAAAAAGCATCAAGACTTTTGTTTGATGGCAAATATTTTTATGTGCAATGACTAACAAACATTAAATGTTTAAGAAAAATTAAGATATTCTATACAAGAGAATCTACATCCAATTTTCCTAATTCACAAATATGAGAATAAGCTTTTGCACGAGAGTGCAATTTAGACAGCTAAATTTCAATAAAACTTACTTTGCTCATCATTATTAGAATGTGATGTGAAAAGCTGGAGGAGACAACCTCTGTGCTATAGAAACTCACATACAGATGTTTTAATGGTACAGAGATTCATTATAACTAAATGAGTTTATTAATATTATCATTCTTCCAAAATTGGGAGGGGGGGGAGATGCCCCTCCCCATTCTGAGTAATTGGTCAACAGTGGGCAAGCCGTATTGATGAAAGTACTTGGGAAATTGTGTCAATATGTAAAGAACTATTGTTTCTCTTGATTCTGAAACCTTTCCCAATTGACGCCAAGGAGTTAGGATGAGTGAAGTGTAGAATCCAGCTCTACCATCTGGAGGCCCCAATGAGTTGTTGATGTGCACAGCATGCTGGGTAGGATTTTATTAGCCAAGAGAGTGACAGGCAAATACAAAACAAACAAAAAAGACAACGAGGAGCAGGGGAGAAACAATTCCCAAATTTACTTTTAATGATTTGGTTAACCAAATGGAACCCCCCCCCTAAAAAAAAACAATACTGTCAAAAAAATGTGTGGAAGAAGCCTCCCAACCAATATACACATGGTCACTGGACAGAGAAGAGAAGCAGCATTTGCATTCTTGGGGAGTTGAAGGGGATGTGGCTGAGGATCATTGTGGGCAGGATAAGGCAGAATAGCATCAGCAGCAATGGGGCTGGTAGAATTAGAGGAGCACTGAAAGAGGAAGGAGGAGTTATGTTGACTTACATCGTTATCGGATGTCCCACAGAGGCCGCAGGACTTGCACTCTATACACTGCCAGGGGGTATTTCTTCACGGATATTATCATGTTGGGGGTAAACTGCAGGCAGGATGGATGCCCTGGAGCAAAAGAGAGAACAGGGGAGACTGAAGAGCTGTGGCAAGCAATCGACTGATTATGATAGTGTTAGCTGTTATGGTAGTGAAGACCACCATATATATATATATATATATATATATATATATATATATATATATATATATATATATATATACGTAATGTAGCTGGCTGGCCAAATGCCATGAACCTGGATAAAAATCAGGAAACCTGATGATGATGATGATGATAAGAATCAGTCAATAAATTTGAGCAAGGCAACATACTTACACTCTTTAATTAAAAAAAGAAAAGAAAAAAAAAAAAGGGATGTCAAAAAAAAGAAAAAAAAAACGCTGCCAAGCATGCAACATGCAAGAAGGGTGGACAGGAGGAAAAGGAAGAGGAAGAGGCAGGAGGAAGAGGAGGAGGAGGAAAAGAAGAAGAAAGTTTGCTTATTTTTTTAATTTGAGAGCAAAGAAGCAGAATCTCACGTCTGGGATTCAACTTCCACCAAAAATTAAACCAAGATTTGTTTTTCTTTATGGGGAACACATTTTCCTAAACTTGTTCAGTTCAGGGAAATATGTACCTTTTCTTCTAGTGTGTGTGTGTGTTATATATATATATATATATATATATATATATATATATATATATATATATATAAAATTAAAGCATCTTCCCATGTCTATTGTGCCTCCATGACTGATCATTTACATATCTTATAACATTTCTTTAAGTCATGCATATTCACATCAATAAATTTTAAATATTATGTCAATTCATTTGTAAATCAGATTAAAAAAAAAAATTGGCATTTAAAAAAAATCAACATTTTTTGCCTAAGCAAAAAATGGGGTTACCTTTTATAATAAAAAGATCAAATCCTCATCATTATTGATATGAAAATCCAAGCAATGGCTAAAATCTCAAAATTTACACTGAGAATCATCATCATCATCATCATCAATATTCTGGCAAATAATTTTCATAAAGTACACAAAGATATTACTTCATAGTTTTTTTTTTTGTTTTTTTAAATTATTTTATTGAAATGTAAATAATTTTTATTATTATATAAAGGACATGCAACAAAGAACTGAACCAATTTTGGGATACATCGCATTCATTATTGATTTGTGTGCAGATAATTTGCAGCTGGTCCCAGGATTAGACACTGCCACAAATAAAAATGTGTGTGTGTAACATATACACACATAGCCACCAAGTGTCGCAACCATGAACTGGTCATCATCCTTTTGTATAGCGTGTAGGTCCATCTGGTCATTTTCATAGATTCACTGAGAGAATAATAAATCTAATTTTACTGAGAGAGAGAGAGAGAGATAAAGAACGATTAAAGTGGATTATGACTTCATAGAAAGCTCAGCTTAATGCTTCTAATCTTCTTTCTATGCAAGTGTGCTGAATTATACTGAAGCTAACCCTGTGTTTATCTCAATTGTGGACAAAGAGATTTTTTATTTGGTCCTAAATAATTGCTGTAAAAATGAGAGAGAGAGAGAGAGAGAGAGAATGGAAAATATTTGGGAGAATTTGAGATATTTGCATAATTATATTTGAAAATTAACTGCAAATATTATTGATTTAAACTTAGGTTTAAATCTAAACAGTATGAGAAGAAAAGAGTAATTGCTAAAGCTAACCTGTTTCTTTAAAGTATGAAGGGGTTGACTGAAAAGTTCTTAGCTCAACCAAGGAAGGATCCCCCCCACCAAAAAAGTTCTCCTTGTACATTTGATCAGATTTTGGGAAATGGGTGAGGCCAAGAACCTTTCAGTACTATTTTGTAAGCAATAGGACACACACACACACACACAAACATTTGATTTAGGAAGGTTTTAAAAGCATTAAAATTTAATTTAAAAATCAAATAATAAAGAGCACAAGTAAAATAAAATAAGGGGATATTGAAAAGTTCTTGGCCTAACCCATGACTCAACACCTGACTAAATAGAATATTTGGGAATCACTTCTTGATCAAATCAAGTAATTTTCAGTACTTTAAACTTGTATCTTTAAGGTAATTTAGAAAAGATTTCTAATGATAGTAAAACTAAACTGAGCAGGCACACCAGTTGAAATCCTTAGTTTAATAAAATTGTTACATTTATAAGTAATTAACATTTCCACTGCTTGGACATGCCTGTACATCTTTATAAAACTTACATTACCTGCTGTTGATGTGTGTGTGTGTGTGTGTATATATATATATATATATATATATATATATTTTCAAGACAATGTGAAATGTCAATCCCTAGTGCTTAGTGCTATTTATGAACAAGTATCGACACATTTTTATTGTATTAGGGGTGGAGACAGTTTAGTCTGTAATGTAGAGTATCAGATTAAAATAATAATGGAGCCCATAAAAAATTGCCATCAGCCTCTTTATAGTCATTTATTTCCCCACATAGGCCAACACAGGCAGGCAACAGTGTTATAGCAGTGAAAGCAGCATTAAAAATGACAATTGACATTTGAAAATTAAAAGCAAATATATATATTTTTTATTTATTACTGAATTTATCTTCCAGAGTAAGCATTCAATGTGAGATTGATTTTGTTTTTTATGACTTATCAACCCTTTGTGGGTTATGTAAAGTCAAAACATATTTTCAATGGGAGATGAAATGTCAAAATAAAATTGGTCATTCAGTGAGGATAGTAGGGATTTTTCTAATCAATTATATACAGTGATGGTAAACAAAATTATGATATCCTGAATATATTTCAATTTACTTAAAAGATATAGTCAACACAGCTGGATTATATTAAATGATGACAGATCAATAAAATCAAAAATTTCCAAATAAATGGTTCATCAACAGTACTTAACTCCTATATTAATGCACTGTATATCTTCCATAGTTGTTAACTTTATACTCTTGGCATTCATAAAATTGTATAGATGGTGTGCATACCATACTGTGATACATTATTCTATGCCTCTTGCACCTGTTGACAACAATAGAGCTGTAGGTGGGCTAACTGAACAAGGCAGGCATTGTCCCATATATGTTTAGTGGGAGATAGGACTGGCATTTGTATCAGCCAGAGTAGTTGTTGGCCATCTTGTAGGGCATGTCGAGTAGCACAGTCATCATGTGGCTGGGATATTATACTGCAGGGATATCACATTGCCATCTTGTCACAGGACTGGTTACAGAAGGAGTGAAACAATGTTCTGGATGGGACTGACACTATTTAACACCTCCCCCTCAAAAAAACAAAACAAAAGCAAGCAATTTTGTTAACTTATGGTACTCTACCCAAATATGCCGAGGTTTGGATGTGTAAATGATGAGTGAAAACATTTAGGAAGATCTTGTTCTTCAAGTCTATGCTTAATCATTTACACAAAACCAAAACTGGCTCTCCTTACTAAACACAACAGAGCACAATTAGATTCCAACATGTAACTCTACTCCCTATCATAACAACACTTGTGTAAAACTGCCTAGAGATATGTATGCATATAGTCTTGTTGTAAGTAAACAATTCCCAAGTGGTTAATGCTGATACTCCTGAGGCCACATTTGCTGTGATTTTTGCCATGGATGCTGTTCTTAAAAATGCATTGAACTTGTACTACCTTGTCATCCAGAACCTGGTCTACAGGTGTAAAAATGTTCATTTACCAACATTAAAGCAACACTGATGAAATAATGTCCAGCATGTGCAGCAAGTCATTGAAATTAACCATCCAGCCTGTCAAGAGTGCTCAATCTGACCCTAGCTAAAAACAATTGAACAAAAGAAGCACATATGTGCCTTTGTGACATATCTGTTCACACTGGACTTTCATTATACAAAACCTCATAGTATAATATGTCTAAAGCCCAGACACAGATAATGCACTGGTGTGAGCACTTCTATATCACAAGATGGCCAAAGACTAAAAAATTTATCAGAATATCTACTGCCCTCTAGCATAATTATACTCTACCCAGGTGAAAACAAGTATTCTACTTCAGGTTGTTACAATTTTATTATCTCTTCATGTATTTTATATATATGTGTGTGTGTGTGTGTGTGTATGAATAAAATGACAAGAGGAAAAACCATTCTTAGCCAACCTGTTTCATCCTTTGAAGGACTTTATCAAGGCAAATGTAGGATTTATTTTGTTGCACACATTTATATACAAGAGCAAGGATGTCATTAGTTTATAAAGGCTTTTAAATTTGGGAATATTAATGAGGTAGTTGAAAGGTCAGTCAAAATATGGAGGACACAAAGTGCCATAATTCAAAGTCTGGTAAAAGGCAAAATAAGTGAGTAATATTCAAGAAATAAATATATATATTTTTTTTTTTTAATAAATGAATATTGTTTAAATTGTGATCAGTTTCTTATGGTTTGGGATAAACATATGTGCTGTACATCTTCAAACACAGAAGGTAACCATTTTTTTTTTTTGATTTTTCAACCTTTTTGTGGCTGTGTAATTTAAAAGTCTTGACAAACCAATGACATCCTTAGTTTTAATTTTCCATGTTAACTGAGCGAGTCATATCACTCAAATGGATTGCTATGAATTCTGTTGTTGTTTTTGTTTGTAATAGATAGGCTAAGAAGTTTGTTGCTAAACCAGAAGTCCAAAGGAAATATCTTCAAAATCTTTTCAACATCATGCTTCAAGATGCCAACCAATATTGTAATATTGTGAGAGTAATTAAGATAAAATATCAGATTTTTATTTTTTCCCTTGCTCCATTTATCTCAAATCTATTTTAGACTTTGCATTTTGAATACTGCAAAGCTTGTCGATCTTAATTACAAGGAGACATGTCTTCATTGCTTGTCAGTAACAAATTTCTTCTAATCCAGAATCAAAATTACCAATTCTTCAAACAAATCAAATATCAGTGTAATACGTAAAAAGCAAAAAGATTTATGACTCTCTCTCTCTCTCTCTCGTTGTGTTGAACAAGCATCAATTAAATCTGAATTGATTTACAAGGAAAATTTCTCAAGTGTGACCAATGGTTTTTGGTCAAATTGCAGCTCTTATTAGATTTATTATCAAATGTTAATATTTCTGCATTTCATCTCATGGTTTCATTTCAGACTCAGTTTGACCAGATTTTTTAATTACTTCACATATTTAAATGTAATTTTGTTACAGTTTAAGAACATATCTGCAATATTTCTTTTTTTTTTTTTATATAAACCCTTTTTTAATTAGAAATCAATATTATTGTTGTCTTGTTGATATAAAGTTTTTCAGTATTTGTTACAGAGTTGTAGTTTTTACAACTGATTTATGTTAAAAGCCATGTTTTTCTTTTTAATCTGATACATTTAAAATATTTGTTTATTAGCATACAATAAAAAAGCACATACATATAGGTTAGCATTTATTCAACATTATCAATTCTTCCTAAAAATCATTAATTTTTTTTATCAAAACATTTTAAATCACTTTAAAACATTTAAATTCAGTGATGAAAAAGTAAATTAAAATTATGATGGTAATTTGTATGATAAACAATTATTAAAGGAAAAAAAGAAGAGAGGACAAGAAGGAAAAGTTAAAAATAAATAAAAGATAAGGAGAGAAAACTGTTTCTAACCTGATCGTCCACAATCACTGCATGATACAAGCCCTTCTGGCTGACGTGTTTTTTTGTTTTCCAGTGAATCCCCAAGACAGAAATCACAGTAATTATTGGGAGCCACTTTGCCATCCATAGTTTTTGCTGCAATAACAAACCAAAGAGACACTAAATTCATTAGCAAAGACACTGTATGCTAACAAATGCAAGAACACAAACAACTAACTTCTTCATTTGATACAGATTAACCCTGATGTCACCCAGGCTGCAAGTAAGGAAGCAGTTACTTAATAAATAGACTTAGAATTAATTTGCTAATTCCTTTGCATAAATGATCATCCAGAATTATCAATTAGCTTTTAAGCAAATCAAAGTTTACGAAAATAGAACAATGTCAGTGTTGACCAGAAGTTAGATTCCAAACTAACAAAAAAAATCGGAAATAGCTTCGCACCTTTTTCAAAGCAGTCACATTAATGAACATTTTGGGCCCCCACGGCTAGGGTTAGAGTTTCAGTTTTTCTTGGGTCTCCCTCTCTTTTGATGGTGATTTTCAAGGCTTTTATGCTTCTGCAGTTGATACTGCGAAGTAAAGCATCGGCCACACTCTTCACTTGAGCCCACGAGGAATTTGCATATAAATAGAGAAGGTGAGTCTGCGCATCTCGTGTGAGGGCTGCCACCATGCATCCACACCATGTGTCTTCCTGTCAGTAGAAGAGGGAAATATGTAACGGCAAGAAGACTTTCAGTAGAGTTCCTAGATTTTGGTGGCCCCGGCTCACTCCACATAAAACAACACGTAAAGCCTTAACGATCAAAATAAAAGAAAAATGGTGATGTGATATGAAGGTGGGAGAATTTTCTTTTCTTTTCCCAAAATGATGAAAATGGAAAATGAAAAAAATAATGGATCAATTTTTAATTCTCTTTTTTAATGATAAAAAAAATAAAAAAATAAAAATAAAAATCATCCAGTCAAATAAAGAAAAAGGAAATAAAGAAGAAAAAAAAAGAAAAAGAATCCAATTTAGCATTTTTTCCTTTATATCTCTCTTCATGACAATTTGTCAAAGACAGATTACCTATATACAAAATCAGTCATTGTTATTAAACTCATCAATTATTTGAAGCTCAAGTAAAAGCACAAGCTAAATACCAAATTTTAAAAAAAAAGAGTAAATAATGGAAAACTAAGAAAAATTTGCCAATTGCCAAATTGAAGCTTATTGGAAATATTCAATCTTTATTACTTTTGATGATCCTACTTGCAGCCTGGTAAGAAACTTCCGCACAAATCACACACAGTGGCATATAATAATAATCTATTGCATTAACCGTTATAAGAAAAAGGATCTTATCTGAATGGGAGTTTTATTAATTACAAAAAAAAAAAAAAAAAAAAAAAACTCAGATTTCCTTTATAGCCATTAAAAAAAAAAAAAAAAAAAAAAAAAAGTGGATTATATTTTGAGGCATATTATTAAAATGTCAACCAATTTAAATCTCAACAGTAAAGAATTGGCATCGAGAGAAGCCAGTTACTGCTAGATTAGAAGAATTAGTTTAAAATAAAGAAGACAGACACACACAAAAGTTAAACTTTGTTGAGGAAAACTAAGATAGTGAAAAATACACATACCTATATGTATGCATCAATTTAAGTGCAAAAAAAAAAAAAAAAAAAAAAAAGTCAAATAATAGATAAACTGTGAGAATAAAATATCATGAAACAAAAAACATTCAGTTTCTCTTTTAGGCATAAATGTTTAGTGAAAATGCATGCAAAATTGGAAAAGCAGGACAACCCAAACTGATTGTCTAGATTTTTTTTTTTTTTCTTCATTTAGTAATAGTCACCAATTATTTCAAACATAAAAACAAAAAAAACCATCTTGATTAGTCAGTAGAAAAAGAGGGATTCAAGTAAACAGACCAACATGAAACCAACAATAAAAAAAAAAATGTTTAAGAAACTACCATAAGAAAGTTAATCTTAGGTAGCAAATAGATGAAGAAAAAAAAAGAAAAAAAGAGACAACGCAATAGAATAGTTATTCAAATATGTTTCTGAGACAATCTATATAAAGAGAAATTCCTCAAAGAAACTATTTCCTCTTATACTTTGAATAAGCTAGCTTTTCAAAATGCTAAGAAACCACTTAGCTGAAAGATTATTAGTCCTGACTGATAGTATATCAGCCAATATACAACAATGAATAATTATTTTAAAACTTTATTAAATTCTAATTAAAAAAAAGAAATCTGAACACTGAAATTACTGTGGCAGAAAATCATGTGAATAAAGCTGAATTTTAAGTTTATCAAATTCATAATTTTTTAAGAGGTGATTAGTATAAATACTTTATAAATATTTGTTGTGCAAGTCAAATTACAAGGGTTGGTCAAAAATTAATGCCTGTTATAATTTCATTTTAGAAGTATTAAACCCTCAATTTTTTTTTTTTTTTTAAATTCTAAACCATAAAATGTCAATAAGCCTAGGAGGAAAATTTGTGAAGTTTCTTTGGTATTTTTTTCTTACTCATAATCCTCATTTAAAATGGCTACCCCATGAGAGACATGTAGAAGACAAAAGAGTTGTCATTAAATTTGGAAGTAAAAAGTACTGCAAATATTCACAGGAGGAGGAGGAGGAGGTCTGTGAATGTTTAGGAGAAAAATGAACTCAACGTATGCATCATTAGAGTTAATAACAATCCTAGAGAGGAAAAAAAAAAGAAACTTAGTGGCAGGCCAGCTGCTGTGAATGAGAATAAGGCCAAACAGTCTCTGATTCTCTCATTACAATTGATAGAGGAATCATCATTGAAAAAAAAAAAAAAAAAAAAAAAATCGGTGTAAAAGCCCTCATGTGAGTCATGGTAGTGTCTGCTGTTTTGTACAGTCTACTGGGTACCCAATGGTTTGTTCAAAATAGGTACCCAAAATGTTGAAAAACTTTATGAAGGTAGTTGCTAGACAAGAATACAACAATCCCATGATAAGACACTGTGAGCCAGGGAGAAAAAGAAGCACGATGGTGCAGTACTACTCTATCCCCATACATAAAGAAGTGTAAGGCAGCAGCTTCTACAGGGAAAGGAATCATCACTGTGGCTGGAGACCACTAAAAAGTCATATTGTTCATATGTGCAAATAGCACCGCTCTCAATTCTGGCTCCTACATGAGTACATTGTGAATGTTTAGATTAAAGGTTCTTCAAGCTCAGCCACATTTTAATATTAGTGATGTGCTTTTGCATCAGGAAAATACAAGACATCATCAGCAACTTAATAAATGAGCAGACAATCAATTAGAAAACAGTTTTGACATGTATCGGCTTCAAACTTTCATGTAGAACGCACACAAAAAAAAGAGCAATTCTCCAATGATGCTGAGGTGAAAGAAAGCAACTTGAACACGGTGAAGAAAGTAGCTAAAGGCAAATAGACACACGCCCTCAAAGGCAGAATATGATGGAGGAGAAAAAAAAGATTACAGTTAAATTTTGAATCTCAAGACTTTTGTGTGCTTCTATTAAATCTGTTGTAATTAAAGAAGAACAGGCATTATTTTTGGCCGAATCTTGTATCCCATAAACTTCAATCACTATAATACCCGTAGGTTTAAAAAAGAATATATATATATATATATATATATATATATATATATATATATATATATGTATGTATGTGTGTGCACACTCACTCATACTTGTTTGAAAAGAGGAAAGCGATATGATGGAGATAAAGACAAAGGGATCAAAATAGTGTCACATGCCTATAAATATACACTGTACAGACAAAAGTTTAGGTTATATTATTCATGCTGGGTGCATTACATATGTGCACACACACACACACACACAAAAGTATTTCCTTTTTTTTTTGATCTTTGTTATCTATTTTCATTTTGTTTTAAAGGATGTTTTGAACACAAATTTAAAAAGAAAGACAAAATTCATGGCAAATATGAAATGGCTGAGAAAAAGAGAAGAAGTTCAAGATAACTTGCAGCAGACATAAGAAAGCATATCACAAATATTCGAACTGCGTCATGCAATGTAAATCATAATTAGTGAGTATCGAGATGAATTTGTTGATAGTCAAAGTGCAGAACTGACCAAATTCTAACAATCATACAAAAATACTAAATTGCAACTGCTGGCTGGCAATTATAGAAACAGTTTACTACCCCTCCCCAAGATGCTTGGATTACAACTAAGAGTTAGTTTGGAGTTTGAGATCTTTGAAAATATTTAAGATCATCATGACAAAAGAAAAAAAAAAATCTATTTTTAAAATTGTTGATTCATTTCTTTTTGTTTGGCTTATTAACATTTTGCGGGTTATTTAAGGCCGAAACATATTTCAGATTATAGGATCTTGTTTACAGTACCAGGTGTTCCCAACCTGTCCACATCTAAATACTGACCAGGCTTGATGCTGTTTTCGTGATTAAATGAGAACAGGTATTTTCAATATAATTTGACCATAAGCTTAGATTTAAGAACTTGGTTTTTGGCAAGACAACATTTTGTCAAATACAAAATATTAAAATATAAATATATACATAGAATCCAACTTTTAAGTGAATGTCATAAAAGAACAGAATTCAAAAACTAAGATATAATATTAAAAGTTTAAAGCAATAATGCTACATTTTCTGAAAACTATTTTCGTTTTTTAAACTTTCGGCAAATTAAAACATTACAACAGATGAATCACTGCCTTGAGGAGATTTTATTTCTCATCTATTTTCATTCAATTAACAATTTTATATATATAAAAAATATTCATGGGCAAGTCATATCTATACAGACTTAGATATCTGATATTCATAAAAACAGAATTTAAGTTTATATTTCATTTTTTTATTCATATTATTTTTATGTTGCATCAAGAAGCAATTACAAAAAAGGTTACTTGAAATCTGATAGAATGCAGATGAAACAGTTTTTTTCAAATCCTTTCAATTTCGAAGAGAACAAAAGGAAGACAAGTTCATGAATGAGAATATATATATATATATATATATATATATATATATATATAAAAAATTTTATAAATGTACATTTTGCAAATAATAATGTTAAGTATTTGAGAAGGTTCTTTCTTTTTTACTTTTTCTGATAGAAAAC